GTGTGTGTGTGTGTGTGTGTGTTTGTTTGTGTATATCCATGATCCATGTTTGCGTATGGTATAAGTTGTGTTGCAAGTCACCATATATATAAATATATATATATAGGAAATGGCATAATTAGTGCGAGATGTAGAACCAATAGAAGCTCTTTTTAATTCTGCTGCTCTGGCACGAGCCAAGACAAATATACAGCAAACAGACTCTACACTGCGATTGTTAGTTATCCAATGGATAGCCGGGGGGTGATATCTGAGGGTACGAAGGGGTTAAGATAACGATAGATGAACCACTCACCCAATGAATGTTATGTGCAGTGGTTAGCCATGCAATGACACTGTCACACGCTGTCGGTTTGGCCGTTGGTACTAGTCTGGATATGACACTACCCAGTTACGGTTTTAGGGTCTAAAGTTCAGGGTTTTTGGGCTTTTGGGTTTGTGCGTGTGCCCGTTTGTTTGTGCACTCTATGTCATCGCAGGACGGCTCTCTCCCTCTGTCATCTCAACACCACACCACACTACACAACACCACGGCCCACTATCGTAAGACAGAAGACACCTTATACGATGATTAATACTAAACTTAAACATTTAAACAAGTGAAGGTACAATATACACTACTAGTGTACGCTGATATAAGACATAAGACACCTTATACGATGATTAATACATATCATAGACACCTTAAACAATGGAGGGTGTAATATATATATACTACAGTGTACGCTGATAAGACACATGTAAGTGCCTTCTCGTTGACACGGCCTGTCACCATCTGCGCATTGCAGTAGCACGATCAGACAACGTCCTTCGACCAATTCGGTGTCATCGGATGAATCAGGTGACAACAACAACAGCGACGACGACGAAGAGTTTACAAAGCCACAGCCAATCAACACTCAGCAGATGGCACAGCCCAAACAGCCTATGTAAGTGTGAGAGAGACATGCGTAAGAGGGAAGGTGGCTTTGAGTGGGGTATAGATATAGTAGCAGATATATGTGTAGGTGGGAAGGTGGTTATGAATGGAGTATAGATATAGTAGCAGATATATGTGTAGCTGGGAAGATGGCTATGTTTTGTGCGTTGTTGGTGTTTATCGCTGGATGCTGCATGGTATGAGTGTTGGTTTCATGTGTGTCTGCGTCCAATTGTACGCATTCAAATCGCAGTGCACATGCTGCCCTCAAGCGTGCACCCCATTTTCCATTTTTTTGGGTGCACATGTCCTGTTTTCTGTGGCTGTCTTGCCGCTCGCCCATTTCCTTCATCTGTTTGTACACGTGTGTTGGCCGTGGTACATGTCAGGGCATTGCTGGGTGTGTTGTGTACACGTGTGCTAATATGTGATAGTGTACACACGTGTGCTAATATATGATAGTGTACACACGTGTGCTAATACTTGATAGTGTACACACATGTACTAATAGGTAATCACCCCCTCACACCCCCCACACCCCCTCACAGCGAGCGCAAGGAAGACGCTCTGCCTAAGCCATTCAGCACCAGCTCACTCCTCTCATCCACAGCCGAACAGACCACCACAGCCCACACACACACAGCGAAGCCACGGTCACACTCAATCACTGCAGTGGAGGCCACGGACAGGGGCAGAGCCAACGACACTACACGAACAAGTGCATACGCTACTAACCCACTCATGCACTCAGAGGGAGGGGCAGACAGCAACCTCTCATACGCCCACGCACATACACACACACACACACACGCACACGTGAACACGAACACCACGCGTACATCCCCACTCACAACAAACAGTAGAGCACCGTACACGCGACAGCCGTCGCTAGAGCAATCGCACTTGAGTCAGCAGCACAAGCCAGTGAGCACCCTCAGCACGGTGGAGGAGACAGCCAGCAACGGGCCAGGGGGGGGGGGTGGGGGCTCTTACAAACAGACGGACAGGCCAAAGAATGGGCCTACCAACGAGCTGGGGCCGAAGGCGAATGCGGGCAGCAAGCGAGGCATGGCTGACGCGGGCTACAAAGGCAATCTACCTACTGAAATAGACTATGCGTCCATGTGAGCGTTTGGCAATGGGCAGTGGGGGTCTTACAAACAGACTGACGGGTCAAAGAATGGACCTACTAGCGACCAGGGGCCAAAGGCACTCTACCTACTGAGCTGAACTATGCGTCCATGTGAGCGTGGCGTTGTCTCTCAGAGGTTGTTGGGTGTCTGTAAGCCGTTCACTCGTTGGGTGTTTGGTGAGCCTTCGCAAGACATGTGGTCTGCCCCTGTACTACCACTCACCACGCCACTCTCCACAGTCACACGCCACTGCTGTCCAGTGGTTACTGCGAGAGAAACGCCGCACACGTGGTGTGACGCCCGCTGACATGTTGCGTGTCTGGTACATACAGCTGATCTGGTAGAAGCTAAGGTGGTTATGAGTGCCATGGTGCGGTTAGGGGTTTAGCATGTTGCAATGCTTCTGGATAGCTCTATGCTTGTTCGACAACAGCACATGAATACATTGCCCATGTGGGTGGTGTGTGAGCATGTGCGCACCCCTCCCCTCACTCAAGGGCAAGGGCTCGAACTTACTTCGAACGCAAACACAGCCCACTTTGCGGCTGAATGGCCCCCATCAACAGCTCACACAACGCAACGCAAACTACGCAGAGACTATGCATAAAGTATGCATAAATTATGCATAAACTATGTATAAACTACGTATAAGCCATGCATAAACTACGCATAAACTATGCATGAACTACGCATCAACTATGCATCAACTATGCATAAACTACGTATAAACTATGTTTAAGCTATGCATAACCATGTATAAACTGTGCATAATTATGCATAAACTATGCATAACTATGTATAAACTATGCATAATTATGTATAAACTATGCATAACTATGTATAAACTCTACATAACTATGTATAAACTCTACATAACTATGTATAAATTATGCATAGCTATGCATAAACTATGCATAAACTACGCACAGTGCATCAGACGTCCCCAGGACTTCTCCAGCGACTGTCCGGTGGTCGTTGGTGGCCTCTGCTGCTGTGGTACTCGGGTGACCACAGGCTCAGGTGTGCACAAGCGAGGGATATATAGTCAGTGCCAAAGCATTGCATCAGGAGACATGGGCTATGTTACATGTTGGAAGACGTCGGCCTGCTCAGCCCAGACACTGTAACATATGTATGGGTAGACACTGTAACATATGTATGGGTAGACATTGTAACATATGTATGGGTAGACACTGTACCATATGGGTAGACACTGGCACTTGGAATGTGTCAGGGGAGAAGCACGACTTAATACGGGCCATATGCGGTCACTCCCAGCAGCGATGGGGACATATGTGTGACAGATCCAAGCTATCAATGCACACACCTGCCATCATCAATGCATACACGTGCTATCATCAAGTACACACCTGCCACCTGCTGATCTGCGCGTACACTACGCAAATTCAGTGGCACTTGCATGTACTTGCCTGAGCTATATACAATACTCTAGTGTAGTAGGTAACGGCAGTAGGTAAACAACACATTACTAAGGCACAGCATTGGACACAGCACACT